AGAGAGGGGAGAGAGAGAGAGAGAGAGAGAGAAGAGAAAGAGAGAGAGAGAGAGAGAGAGAGAGAGAGAGAGAGAGAGATCCCACTACAGACTCCGCTATGGAAGCGATTCCTCTCATTAAAAGATGGTTGTTGTAGCTGAAATAGTCTGGGAAACATAGCCGCTTGTAATCTGTTTGACTTCCTGTTGCATCACAGACAGAATCAATTCTACTAAAATACGAACATGTACACTGAATGACTTCCTTGTTGAGATATAGGCTAGGTGTTATGCTAGTCTCACATAAACAACTATTTAACTTCGCGGGTCAATTCCGAGAAGTTATTTATATATTTTTCTTAGTACACGGTAGGATGCGATACACGTGAACGCCTCCAAATCGTCTTACGGAAACGCTGACCATAATTTGTTTCGTTTTTTAAGTCGATGTTTTTACGCCTCTATCGACACAATTTGGATCATCTGAAAGGGCGGATTGTTTTGGCCAACTCAGGCTGCAAGGGATACAACGTCCCAGCAAAAAGACGGAGATATCGATGATTAAAAAATCCTAACAGAGGAATCGAACTCGGGTCTTCAACGTGCAACGGCGAAGGTCCATACCGCTACGCAACGGACGATGGTCAGACCTTCATTAGGCCAGCTAGACATGCAAATTTCTTTCCTTCTCCGTTATTTATTATTTCCGCTTTTGAGATGCTCAAAGCACAGCTGCACTTATAAAGTTTGGATTCGTAAACGGATAACTTGACATGGTGGTATTGGGTAAACCGAAGGAAGAAATAAGGAAAGACGCGGGAGTCAATACACCAAATTAAAGTTCACACTTGGCAACGCGCACAATTTCTCACATGACCCGCACAATTTAAGAGCACAAATTTATCCCACCACGAAATACTTTGCATCCATGTTATCACTATAACTATTTTAGAGCAAGTAGCCACCTGTGTTAAAGAATAATCACCTTGACGCCAGGCTTGGAAACAAAGAGTTAAACTCGAAGCAGGAGTATTTCTGCACTGTTATTATCCACGAGCCACCGGATTTTTTCACGGTTATCACACAGCACGCCACCCACAAGGAAAACTATCGGGGCGGTAAAGGTACCGTAACAAGCAGTCTTTGACGAAGAAGTATCGATTCCCAATGAATGACTCGCAACGTCTTGCCGTCACGGGGTATTGGATTTCGTTTATTCATAAAGTCATTGGAAACAAAGTCGCAGGCGACTGGAAATAGCTCAGAAAAAATACAAAACAAAACAAAATGTAGAGATGAAATAAAAAGGAAAAAAGAAAACAAACAGGTAACCCGCTTAAGGTGTTGATGCCTGGGCTGCTAAATGTTACAGTCTCTTATCAATTAACTGATTTTCATTTTTCTTTCTCCTCATCTTTAATAATTCTTCACAGCCACTGTCCTGTTAAGAGTAACTGATTAAAAACTTCACTGAATGGCTAAAGGTATAGGTTCAAATCTATGTGGGGTTGGT